TTAGTAGGGTAATTAACCATATGTATCCTGGGTTTGAGTCTATCTTAATAGTGTGCGGTGACGATTAAAATTAAATTTTACAGGGAGATCATGAGTCATTTAGTAAAATTAATGTATTATATAATTACCATTAGGTAGCAACAGGATTCCATTATGAGGCATCAAAATTCCATTGGAAGAATATTACAACGCTCCCGGAGCTGCAGAGTCAGACGTATGTAGAGCTATTTGGGATGTTTATCTCTTCTTTGTACATTCAAGACGGTTCTAGTTTTGTGTAGAAATGCCACAGCCTAATGAATGGCCAAATACACTCACTGCATCATAGGATGGTTCCTAGGTTCATATTTCAGTTTTCAAAACTGAAATAGGCTTTCTAGACCATGCCTCATCAAACACAAGAACAACTCAGTGGAGGGGGCTAATGACATACCTTTTCAGAAATCGCCGGGTGGGGGGGAATGATAAAGTGAAAAAGAAGAAAATAAAAGTTACCTACAGGGGCTGGAGAGATGGCTCAGCGGTTAAGAGCACTGACTGCTCTTCAAGAGGTCATGAGTTCAAATCCCAGCAACCACATGGTGGCTCACAACCATCTACAGTGAGATCTGATGCCCTCATATGGGTGTCTGAAGACAGCTACAGTGTACTTACATATAATAAATAAATAAATAAATCTTTAAAAAAAAAAAAAAAAGTTACCTACAAATTGACAACCTAATTTGCACGTACTCATGTTTTTATTTATAGACTGCGTATTGCCTCTATCTCTTTAATTCTAAATGAAGTGTGAGTGATAATTTCCACAAATAATTGAATATTGTTTCATATAAATAGTCACGATGCGATTGAAAGAATTTGTTTCAAACAATATGGTGTTTCAGAGTGGAGACTATAATGTAATTCACTCATCAGTGATTAGCCAAAGTCTCATGACTGGATTCTTAACCTCTATTTCTCCTTGACTATTGTCTTCCATGACAGTAATTAATCTCTGTCACCTACACGTCTAATGTCACATCTTATAACTCTTTAGAGTCCTCGGAATTTTCTTCAACAAACATGGTCTACAAATCTTAATGCTGTGGGATGCTTTATTATAAATATGGCGTGCCACGCTCGCACTTCCTGTTTTAAGTGATGTATTGGCTGTTCTGGAGGGGATTCCCGACCACCCTGTGTTCCTCTTGCCAATACCCATCCACTGTTGATGCCGCTTTCAGCATCAACATGATGTTTCCATAGCAGACTCTAATATAGACTTCTGTCACCTTTCTTGGTGGCTTGTAGAAACCATCCTGTGCCCACCTGTCACAGTATTTGCCATGCTTGGTCAGTATCCATCTGTTAGCGTCTACCATCTCTTTTTTTATCCACATAAAATAGTGTGCCCATTTGCTTATGATGGATAAAGAAAGGCTACAATATATCATTCTACCTTCAGTATTTGTAGTCATGACTCAGGGTTGACTACGTGAGTTTTCCTGAATCAGTGAGGTTTTAGGGGTGCAGCTCTGGTACAAGTGTACTATCTCTCCTTCAAATGTACTCTGATATTTATCACCTGTTTTCTACGTGGTGGCTGGGCTAATGACTACCTCTTTTTGGGTATTTTCTTCATATGTTTGTCTTTACCTCACTGTAGTCCTATCTTATTGTACTAAAATTTGTGTGTGTGTGTGTGTTGGTGATTGGTTCTAATGCTTTGGTTCATTTGGGAATCTGCATGTCCAGTTGCTGAAGGTCCTTGTCCCCAGTTGTTTTGTGATTGAGCAATAAAGATACCAATGGCCAATGGTTGAGCACGAGGCGGGTCACTTAGAGTTGTGTGGGCAAGGATGCAGAGAAAATTGGGGAGAATCACCATGGCTTGGGGAAGAAAATGGGATGCAGTAGCAGCAAGAAATAAAGCCAACAAGCCATGTGAGATCTCCAGTAAGTGTCCACTGGCCACGTCCAGATTGGGCCTGGGGTAGCAGGGGAAGATTTAGGAGTGCCCAGCCTTTGAGGTAGCCAAGGTATTTTAAAAATAAGCTAATATGTGTGTGTTATCTATGGGCTGTATGCCCATGTATGTGTGAATGTGCACTACAGAGTGCCTATGGGTACTGCAGAGGGCAGTGAAGGATACAGAGTGTCCTGTGCTAGCATTCTTTGTCCTATCCCCCCGAAGACATTGTCTCTCATGGAACCTGGAGCTGGGCTGGGAGTCAACGAGCCCCAGTGATCATTCTTTCTCTGTTTCCCATACAACTGGGATCCAGGTACAATACGGCTACATCTGGCTTTTTATGTGGTATCTGGTGATTCAAAGTCAGGGCCATGTGGTTATGCAACAAGGGTCCTTACCTACTGAGCCATTTCCTCAACCCCTAAGAAACTATTTCTATCTAAATCTTCTGTCATTTGTAATGTATTTTATCTATCTGTCTATCTATCTATCTATCTATCTATCTATCTATCTATCTATCTATTTATTTATCTATTTTGTAGAATCCACGTGTGGTACTTGACACTAGAGATGGCATAGGCAGTGGAGCTATCACATGAATGGCTTCACATCTGCTCTCTAGTTGGTGATGTGACATCCCTAACATCACAGTGGTCCAGGCTCTCCCTGGTAGTGCATTGGAGTGAAAGGAAAAGGCAAAATATGCTCTCTCCTGGATTGGAGACAGGGACTGAGAGTGATAATGGCCATAGAGTTGGCAGTCAGAGTATTGGCAGATCAATGGAAAAAGAAAGAATAGATTCAAACTAGCCAATCAAACTCTCAGGACCTGGGCTGGGGAGGTGGCCGTTTGTGTAAGTACTTGCTCTGGAAGTGCAAAGATCAGAGTTTCGATCATCACAATCTGCACACATGACAGGTGATGTGAAGACTAGACAGATCAGTGATCTCTGGATTTGGTTGAGTGACCCTGCCATGCTGAAAAAAGTGGAAGAGCAATCCAGGGTCTTTGCTGACATCAACCTCCAGTTCTAGCGCTCCACATGCAAGTACATGCACATGTGTGTCTACACACATGCACACACATGCACACACACAAGGATACATGCATACACACACATATACACACGTATGCACACACATACAAAGGGACACACATATACACAAATATACACAGATGCACACATCCATAACATACACACAAGCATGTATGCATGTACATGCACACACATGTATACACACATACACAGAAATGCTCACATTCACACATAGCCATGCATGTGCACACACATACATACATGCATACAGAAGCATACATATACACACACATAACAATGACAGGGAAACCATAGGACCTGACGTGAAAGTCTTATTAAAGTCTATAATAGCATTTAAAGAAAACTTCTTCCATAGTCAGCAGATTCTACTGAACACTAGTCTTTATCCTTGGTTAAAAAGCAGCAGAATTTTAGATGTCTATTTAGAGAGCCATCCAGAATCCTTTGAAAAAACAAGCACAAAGAGAGATAGAACAGGACCTGACCCCTTGGATTTAGGGTCTAGGTGATTGACTCTCATTCAGAGTCCTTATGCTGAAAGATTATCTCCAAGCCAGTACTACTGGAAAATGGTGGACTCTTTGAAAGGTGGAACCTTGCAGGAGGTTTTTTAGTCCCTTGGGGCATTCTTTTTTTTTACTTTCTTTTACTGGATATTTTCTTTATTCACATTTCAAATGTTATCCCCTTTCCAGGTCTCCCTTCTGGCATTCTTTTAGAAGAGATACATTTTTTTTTTCCTGTTCCTGGATCCAGACATGGGCAGGCAGCTCAGCTCTATGACTGTGTCATGTTTTTTCTCACCGATGCTCACATCAGTGAACTGCCTTATCTTACTAAAACCTGAGCTAAATGTAGGAGAAACAGTGGTGGCCATCTCTACATAAATGCTGGGGCCAAGGAGATGCAAAGACATCTCCTACAGGAGGACCTAATTGAAGACTTCCTGAGAGACCCAAGATTGCTGATGCAGACAAGGACAGCCAATCAGAACTGCTATTTAAAAGAGATGCTTTCTTGGGACCAATGGGACATAGGTGGATGGTATTAAAGGAGTTTGCAGCAGTGTTCAGATGAGCTTACTATGGCGTTTCTCACCTGCTTCTAAATTATGTGTTGTTGATTCTGTACCACCTCATCTCCAACCCCCAAGGACAGGTTTGGTCAGTCAGTGAGTAGTCCAGGGCACAGGCAGCACTAAGTCAGTATCCTGTGTTTATAATGTTACTTACCTCAGTTGTCTCCCAGGAGTAAGTCTTAGCAATGCCACCAAGAACACCTCCATGCTTTATCTCCAGGAGGAGCTTCAGAGGATACTACCTGTCTCTAGATATCCCTTGTACTATGGTTTCTAAACCATGAGCCATGCTAGAGACTAAGCACAGAGCAAGTGTAGGAACCTGGATATACCTTAATAAAAATGAGGTAGTTTGCCAACAGTACCTACAGAGTTGAGGTTATGGCTCAGTGCACAGTGGATGAATATTCCATTAATATACACAAATCTCTGGGTTCTTCCCTGGCACTGATCATTACTGCAGAAAATGAATATCGTGTATACACAGGAAGTGGGAGAACACAGCTAGAAATTAATCCTAGAGTGTGCAGAATATACAACAACGAGTAGAATCTAAAGTCAGGTTTATAATATGAAATGAATTCACATGAAGCATTCTATATTTTGCATTTGGAAGGTCCACATCTAAATCTAACTGTACACTAAAGCACACAGCTCTTCTAAATATATTTTTTTTTCCTGAAAATAAAATTACTTGGGTTAAGTCAGAAAGGAAAACTACTGTTAGCGAATGTTTAAATTATATAAATGCCATTAAATATAGCAAATAAAAAAATCAAATGTACAGGATCTGACTACCAAAGGGTCATGAAGTCATTTGTAGATTACTTGATAAGTGTCTCTTTTCAAAATTACAGTGTAAGAAATTAGGTTCCTACAAACAACCCTTAAGCTCAATGATGACTCCTCTTACCCGGACTTGACCCACAAAGGCATTGGCCTCTTCCTCCACCACAGAGAGGTTCCTGGGCAGATAGGGATCAAACACAGGAGCGTTGTCATTGACATCTGTTACCACTATGTTCACAGTGGCTGTTGAGGTCTTAAAGGAAAAGAGAAGACGATTCAGTATGAGTGAAGCTGCATTCATTTGAGATTCAGTTAAGTGTCCACACTGTTTTTGATTTTCTCCATCTGAAAGGCATCTCTTGTTCCTTAGCTTTCCAAAGGAAAAAGACATAGAATATTAAAACCAAACAAACCAACCAAACAGACAGAGAGAGCCAATGATATAGTACAGGACACACATCTTCTAAGAATGCCCAGTATCTCCTAGGGGCTTACCTTTTAGGTTATGCTACCTTTAGTTTGTTTTATGCTTGGTGAGGATTTATTTATACACCAATATACCCTTTTATTCATAGACTGTACTATTCTGTAATTTTCATCAATTGTGTATTTCACAATTAAACAGAATCATATATACGATCAAATAGAATCAAAACATAAATTTATACTATCAAATAGCCTGACATATAAATAAATACTTCCAGGCAAACTAATACAGTTAGAATATATCACCTTAGAAAGATTTGATGTTTATATCAAAATCAAGAATTTGAGCCCCATGAGCATTGAGTCCCCAGAGAGTGACATGAGTGTCAGCTAAACTGCCTGGTTCTGTGGATGCTCCTTACTTACAGGGAAATCTTAGTCTAGTGAACCAGAAAATGTTATGGAGGTTGAGGTCTCAGGGTCCATAAGTTTGTCTTTATGTGTGAATTGAGCTGGAGCTTCCCTCCAACTTTAGCCTCTTCCTCCCTCTGTCTCAGCGTGGGGTGGGTTTACAGGTAGCAAAGAGCAAACAGGGAAAAAAAGATCCCTAACTTACAAAATAAAACATGAAATATGCTAGGATATTAAGCTGCTTCACTGCAGGTCAATGAGATATGAGAGGAAAGAGAGAATGAAAATCCCTTGAGAGGACAAGATTTCTTTAAGAAAATAGGAATACTTTGAGCCTGGAACACCAGAGAAAATATTTACATAAAAACGTAGAGCTTTTACTAACCTGGAGGTAATTTGCAATAAAACTAGACTAGACATAGAATATGAGTTGTGGTGAGTGACTCTGAAAAGGCTGTGTGGCCATCAAGAAGTGGACAGAGACAAAGTAGGGTCTCCCGGCTGCCAAAGTGGAGTGGGCTGATAAAAGACCTTCCTTTCTGTTGAAAACAATGCAGTTCCTTGGTGAACAGCAGGAGCCATGCTGCCTTAACCCAGATTCAGTCCCACCTTCCAAGACTTCTATTTTAAACTGCATCTACTAAACAAACTCAAGAACAACCTTCCGTATAAAGTCATCTTAAACCTCCGTATCTATTCTATAACAGGTTCAGCTGACACTAAAACCACAGAGAGGTGCTGGATGTGGGTGGTTGGGTCATTTGTGTGCACTGATGGCTCATCCTTTCGTAATTTAGAGCTACATGTACATGAGTTATATGCATGCAATGTTCAATCAAAGTTTGACTTAAAGACACCAAGAGGGTCACAACAGCATCCAGTTAGCCCAAATCTGAAAGCTATCCAATGTTCATCCAATGGGAGATATTGATAAGTGTTCTACGCATGAAACAGACAAGGGTAAAGGCTGAGGACATGTGACACAACTGCCAGGAGCAATCTTGTGGTATAATTCATGAACATAAGGTTGAGTGACAGAGATTAGGAACAATCACATGGAGTTACATGGTTTCACTAGAGTCGGTATGGGGTGGCAAGGAGGAGAGATGGAAGAAATTCTAGATAATGGAAGGGATAGATTTTTCTTTTTTATTGGATATTTTATTTATTTATATTTCAAATCTTATCCTATTTCCCGGTGTACCCTCTGCAAACCTTCTATCTCATCCCTCCTCCCCATGCCTCTATGAGGATGCTCCCCCCCCACCCACTCCTTCCTCACTGCCCCGGCATTCCCCTATACTGGGGCATCGAGCCTCCACAGGACCCTCCACAAGACCAAAGACCTCCCCCCATTGATGACAGACAAGGCCATCCTCTGCTGCATATGAGCTGGAGTCATGGGTCCCTCCATGTGTACTCTTTGGTTGGTGGTTTAGTCCCTGGGAGCTCTGGGGAGTCTGGTTGGTTGATATTGTTGTTCTTCCTATGGGGTTGCAAACAAGAGCTGAAGAACTCGTTTCTTGCAGTGGGATAGTCTCTCAGAAGCTCTCTCAGCTTGGAAGCTCATCAAGATATCCAGTTTGTACTCTTTTCTGCATAGATTACCGATGAAATCATTTTACGTAAAAGATGCCCACAAACAAATACACACACGTGTACACATACTGTGAGTTTATGGAAAGAAACTAAAATTCTTCTGACTAGATGGCATGCAGGTGTTTTATTTTTCCCTTGTAATATTTCTATATTTCTCAAATCTTCCCCAAGAAAGCTACAATGCTTTTGTATTGGAAAAAAAATATTTTAACAAGTGTTATTTCAAGTTATGTTAGAGGTGAAACCAGGTTTTTTTTCTTTTAAATGTGTTTTATAGCAGCAGTATTTCCCAATTTGCCTGACGGTGAACAGATATTAAATTTGACAGCTTGAAGTTAAGACTTCAGAGTGGTCACACTAGTGTCCCTGGCTTTCCTTCCCTCTATGTCCAACTCTGCATTTCCTACCAATCTATTTTTATCACCCTATATATCTTTTCTTTTTTAGATTCTTCATCCCATAGAGCAGTAGGCTTGCAAATCATCTTGAATCCACTGTCAGAGACTGACCTGTGACTGGTTGATGCCCAGGGGAACTGGGTCATCACTACATGGAAGACACACTGATAGGAGATTGGACATACATTCTGATATTGTTCTGAGTTTTACAAGAGGTGATGGGAATCCACATGGGTGAGTAGTTTCCAGCTTAAACATTTCTTAAGACAGGGACAATGCTTCTGTCAAAGTTACCTGGGTATCAGCAATGCTCTTGACTCTGGCTATATTTTACATATACTGGATGTACTCTTTAGACCATGGTAACATAATCCTAGACTGCCGGGCTACAGAGCATAGTAGTGTTTGTTTTTAGGTTGGTCAGGAAGATGGCCACACTATGATTCAAGATGGATCATGCTTCATATTGAGGACAGATTCTACAGGCCCTCCCAAAGTGCACAGGTAGAGGGTGTGACTAGAGGCCTCAGGGCCTAGGGATTTACATACTAATGAAGGCCAGAGGGCGGAGCAAATTAAGCATGCCTCCCCAGATCCTCCCCCTATCCTCCCCAGATCCTCCCCCTTTCTCCTTCCCTATATAACTTGGGACTGCCCTGAGTTTTATGGGGTGTACTTCTAGATCCATCTACCACCCACCATGACAATAAACCTTTCTGGAACCAAGGACTTCCTCGTGTCATTGGGGCCTGCCGCTGCCAAAGCCTCCGGCCACTGGAACCATAGATGTTCCTCCTGCATGTAGGACCAGCTGCAGCGTGGAAACCCACAGCTGCGGCCTATAATTTTTCCCCACAAGATTCTAGGTTTTAAAAATTAATTACTAATAAATGAACATAGTCCATGCTAATAAAGGTATAATCAAAGGTGCTTTTCACAATTCTATAGGTGAAATTGTAATATGACCATTAAACAAATCAAATCAACAAGTCTAATAAATAATGTAATTATTCCTTCTGAGAAATGTGCTTATTATTTATTTTCTCAAATGTTTCATTTCTTATAATCAACATTAGTTAGAAATTTTTGTATTTTAGTACTAAATACTATCATTGATCACTTGTGGCTGATAAACATTTTGATCACCTCTTTGATTTTTATTTTTAATAATAAACAAATCTTAAAAATATATATTCTTTTTGTAAGTAATACAGGAAGGTGTTTCATAGCAACAGTCTTTATATACTAATTTTCTTTGACTCTGATGGCCCTTATGTATTGTAATGTAGACAGTGACGTAGCAACCTTGGTTTTCCAGAGTTCATGGTTTAAGAAGCAATGAGCAATTATCCACACAAAGAATGTCTCAAAAAATTCTGCTTGAATGTGTATTATTTCTGATGCTTTTTGTATTATGAACTTTATTGATCCTATCAAATTAATTACTTAAATCATTAAAAAATAGTTTGGGAGTAAAAGAAAATTAAGATATACAAAATTCAAGTGCATTAACTGGTAAAAAAAAGATGATGCACTTCTATTTATGGAAGTCTAAATAAAAAATACTTATACATGTATAATAAAATGAATGGGAGGAGAAATACATGAACCTGTGGATTGAACCCAGTGTCCTTTACATACTAGACAAAGACTGTCCTGTAGAGCTACAGATCCAGTCCTAAAGTTTTAATAGGGGGTGGATCCAAATGGGAGAGGATATGGGAAGAAATTGGGAGTTACAGAAGATGGAGAACCCTTAATTAAGATCTATTATATGAGTACAAATTCTATCCTGAATAAGAAAAATGAAAACAAAGTAAAATACATTTTAAAATAAAACAGAGACATAAAGAAAATTTAAAGTACCATTTTAAAGTGCATTCTGAACATTTAGTCCAGAATCTACAAAGAACTCAAAAACAGCATCAAGATTACATACCACCCAATTTAAAATGGGCTACGGAGAAAGGACAGCTGTACGTTTGGCTCAGAGTTTAAGAGTACTTGTTGCTCTGGCAGAGGACCCAGGTGTGATGGCCAGCATAGCTCCTACATGGAGGATCACAACTGTAGGTCCAGTCTCAAAGGACCCATTGTTTTACTCTGACCTCTATAGGTGTCAGGAATGTATGTGGTGCACATACATGCATGCAGATAAAACACTCATACACATAACAATAATAAACAGTTTTTAAAATTAGAAAAAGTATGAGCTTCGGCTCTGAACAGAGTGCTCTCAAATGAATGAGAATGGTTAAGAAATAGTTCAAAGCCTATTCAACATCCTTATCGATTAGGGAAATGTAAATTAAGATGACTCTGAGACTTCATCTTACTCCCATCGGAATGGTGGAGATGCATAAAACAACTGATGTCACATGCCGGTGAGGATGTGAGTGACAGGCAGCTGCCATTTGCTGTTGATGGGACTGCAAATTGGGGCAGCCACTGTGGAAATCTGTGCGGAGAATCCCCCAAAATCTAAAAATAGATCTGTCATATGACCCAGACACACCACTCCTTGGCATATGCCCAAAGGACTCAACACCCTACTTCACAGATACTTAATCTGCCATGTTCAATGCTGGCCTAGTCATAATCGCTAGGAAATAAATAGAAACAACCTAAATGTCCTTCAATTGATGGATGGATAATAAAAATGAGGTATGTATACACTATAGATATTAGCCAGTGGTAAAGAAAAATGAAACCATGAACACTGAAGACAAGGAGGTAGATCTAAAAAATATTATATTGAGTTAACAAAGACCCAGGGGGAAAAAACCTTTTTATTTGTTGTGTGCCCGACTCTGAACCTTGATATGTACGTAGATAGCCTGAAGTAACTCTGCAGATGCCATGAAAGTAAAATGGGATCACTGGGGTGAGGGTATAGAGAGGAATCTCTAGAGAAGGGGGCAGTAGGACCTGGGCTTTATGAAGGGAGAAATTGGAAAAACCGGGGGGGGGGACCTTCCCCTCGCCGGGGGGTACGGAGGTAAATACATAGGTAGGGGGAGGAAGGCAGAATTATCCATAGGAATGTTTGAAAAAAATGTAGACAAAGACAGTATTTATAAGATGATTTAAACACACTCAGAATTCCACACTGAGGAAAAATGCCCTGTCCCCAGAGCCATAGATCATCTAACAAAAAGCCCCTAGTTGCAGGCATGGAAAGACTCCCTTTCAGTTGTCAGTGGACTAACAAGAAGAGTACAAAGCAATATAGGCTACTGTCATTGTCCTTTGTGGCCCCAAACTTGAGGGTCAGACCCCATTGCTGAAGACACTCTAAATTTTCGACACGGGCCCTGGGAGAGTAGGGACTCACAGAGTTTGGCGGTATGCACAGGGTTTGCACTGGTCTGCACCAGATGGGATCCTAGACCTGAAAGGAGGAGTGGATATATGTTTCCATCCCCAGCCCAGGAAGTGATCTGAAAGCCTCCTCTGTGAGGCCTAGCTCTTGCAGGATCAGAAGTTGCTATTTAAGCTACTAATGGAGAGAAAGTCGTGGAAAGTTCTACCCAGCTGTAAAGTCAATGAACTACAATAATGACCAGGAAAGAAAACAAAAGCTGCTTATACACACACAGTCCTTGCATCTAAATAAACAAAAAGTTTATTCGTATTTTGGGAATTCTGTTTTGTAAATATGGAATTTTAATGGTTGAGAGAATTAGGATGTACAATGTTAGCGTTAGATTTTTCTTATGCCAATAAACAAGGAAGTGCACAGTCAGCAGTGGGCACACGACCTAGAGAGGATATTTTACAGCAGTGCAAAATATTGTTGTGTTTAACAGCAAACCTCTTGAAGCTCCAGGACCAAGAGCCAGAGGAGTCTTATTGAGGTCACTGGATTTCCTTTATGATTTAGAAAAAAATTTTTCTTCCTGCTATTGAGGCTGAGCTGGAAGACTTTTCAAGGAAGACAGCCAAGGGACAGAGTGTCATTGCTAATGATGGGACAGAGAAAAGGTCCATCTGGGGATGATGGGAGAGATTTGGATGGATAAGAGGCAGAGCACAAGGTCTCCCTCCTCACCACATCCCTGACACATTGAGCCACTCTAGGTGGCTCATGAAGCCACTCTATGACCGTGAAGGATGGGCATAGAGAAAGGAAGAGACATCTGTGGTAATCATATCCATGAACCTATAATACTGATTGCCCAGATATTCAAATCAAGTTTTGTTTTAGTTTGGTTTTGTTGGACCAGGCTCAGTTCAGAATTAAGAAATGTTATATAAACATTTCTTTAAAGGACAGAGTAATTGTAAAACCCTTCAAAGGGAAACAGAAGCAAGGTCTGAGGACTGACAAAGCTGTTACTGGAATCACACGCCATAAGGTGTAACTGCATAAATACCAACACACACAAGGCTTTCCACCAAAACCCATTCTAGCTACACTTTGGCAAGCTCATAAATAAGCAGGGACTCTAAATGGATATAATTATTAATATGTGAGATGACTTATGCCTGTGATGGTTAATGAAATCTACATATTTATAATAACAAACTATAGGTAGCTTCCTAAGGTTTTTAATTACTCTGAATGAAGGCAGAAAAGAAAAATTAGAAGAAAGTCAAATTAAATTTCAAGAACAGCCTCTTCAAAATTAACAACAAGAAATACAGTGTGAGTAGTTTCTGTTTTACCGTCACTATTCAAGGAGACAGGAAATTTTAATAAAAAAAGACAAACAAAATGAAACAAAACAAACAACAACAACAACAAAAGCCCTTGCTCTGGCAATTTATTTCACACAAATTAATTTTAACTTATTTCTTATTTAATTAAAACCTAACTAACCCTGGATCATGTTTATTATTTATTTTAAATTTAATGATTATTAATTTAAAAAATTTTTAAATTATGGCTGCGCAAAAGATTTAAGTTAAAAACTTTAAGAAAAGTGTTATTAAGCCCACAGAATACATTAGGATATATTGTATCATTTGTTTTTCAGGTACTGGCTGTTCAGGCTCCAGTAAAAACGTACTTCCAAGTTCTGGATAGAAGTCTCAGCAGTTTAAAACATTTGTTGCTCTTGGCAAGGTCCTGACTTAAGCGCCAGCGTCTGCATAGGACAGTTCAGCCCTGCCTGTTACTTTGTAATTTTAGCACCAGAGTATCTGGTGCTCTTTTCTGGACTCCTCAGGATCTGTGCTCATGTGCACAACCCTCGGTATCTATTATTTATTTATTTATACATACATACATACATACATACATACACACACACACACACACACACATTCACACACACACACATATATAAAATGAATAAGCGGCACCATGCTTAGCAGACAGTGCATGGTCCAGACACTGAAGATGCTAGCTATTCTTCATCTCTTCCCTTGTCTAAAGCGTTTTATTTTTAAGGCTAGACCTTAAATATCCATGGCTGTTAATTTCCAACTGACAATGTGACTTACCCCAGGGCTATGTGTATCCTTTGCTCCTTCCTGTATCCGAATGTTCTGTACCTGAATGTCACTTCACTTTAATTATACCCTTTAAATAGTTATTGAAATAACTCCTCCTTCTTTTCCTGTGTACCCCCTCTCAGCTATTAGCTGGTCAGGAGACTCAGTAATGTCTAATCATTAGTCAAGTTCCAGGTTTCTTCTAGAGACTCTGACTCCGGCACCTTCATGTAACACTGGCGCGTTACAAATCAGACATGGTCTGTGCATAAAATCAATCTTCCGCTGTTTTCCTCTAGTCTTCCGTTTACCTCATAGTCTTTGAACTGTACGTTTTATTTCCTGCATAATACTTATTAAACTCTTTTAAAAGTCCAAGTTGTTTTTAGGGGAGGCTTTTTATGACCAATCATCTCTAGTTTTATTTTTTATGAAGGTTATGATATTAAATATTAATTTGACATGTTTTCATCTTGGCAAATTTTTCTCAGCAATACCCTGGATGTAAATGTTAGAAACACATTCTCATCCTAAGAGCCATATAGAGCAAAAGTAATCATTTCAAGGAAACTAGGTTAAATCACTGTTGAACTGGCCGACCTTCATGTATTTATCTCATGGGTTCAGAACTGTTTCTAGCAACTTGGTTGAGCTGACACATAAGCAGCTGACTAAAGGAGCCAGAACCAAGGGCTGTGGAGGTGACTTTGTGTGTGAACTCTATGTGTTGTAAGCATGAGGAACCCATATAAAAAGCTGAGCATGGTGCTATAAGCTTGTATGTTTGCGTCTTGGTACCCCTGTGCTAGGGGTACTGAGACAGACAGACCCTTGTGGCTCACTGGTCAGCCATCTTAATCTGAAATCCTAGTTCCCAGTGAGAGACTTTGTCTCCTGAGCCAAGGCCTGAGGTTGACTTTTGCTTTACACACACACACACACACACACACACACACACATAAAATAGAAACAAAAACAAAAGAATAGTGTAAAAATTAATGCCAATGCCGGACACACTACAAGGCCTTGAAATACAGATTTGGAAGCTGAGACCAAAGTCAACTGAAAGAACATAGACAAACAAGTTTTAATTCCAGACTCTTGTGGTTGTGATCTGTGGTAGAGGCTCAGCCCAGGCTCTAGGTTCAAACACCTAAGTTTAGAAGAAAGGAAAGAAACAAAGCAAGCAAATGAAAATAATTATGGAATAATGAAATCAATGTATTTATTCTTAAGACTGATGAGTACAGCTAGAGAAAGTGGGAAATGGAATTTACCTCTCTAAAGTTATGGGCAGCTTAAGGGGGGGGGTGGATATCATCCAAGTTTTGTTAGATCCCGAGTAATCCATGGTCAATCCTATGCCTCAAATGACCTAATTTCCCATGCACTTACATGTATTTATGCATACAACCTGCTACCCTACTGTCTCTGCCAAAGTTGTGCTCAGTGGAGGATATTCCAACCCAGAAAGCCTCAGAATGCACCCTGATGCTGCTTCTGACTGACCCAGTGAGATGCACAATAGAGAAAAATCTCAGGTCAGGTTCCCTGTGAGTTGCACAAATAGTCAGAGTATGATCGCCAGGGTCCTTTCCTCAAGTCAAAGGCGGAGGTACCAGGGCAGTTCCAGAGTATGGGTACATCTGTTAAGAAAGGCCTTTGAGAAAGGAGTGTTTCGTTCTAGGTGAATAAAGCCATTAAGGTTGTAACGCATGTTTTAGAGATGTAGGAGTAAGGGACTCTTTAGCTTCCCCGCCCCTGTGGTAACACTTACTCCATCCGGCCTGCCGTCTGAGGCTGTGACAATAAGGATGTAGCGGTCCGTGCTCTCTCGGTCTAGAGCCTTCCCTAGGCTGAGAATCCCTGTGCTAGAGGCAGAAAGAAACAAAAAACGGTGTTAACTTTCTTTCTTTTTTTTTTTCTGAATTGGATACAATGATCCCTGAAGATCTGTTCTTTCCTCTCCTCCCCCTCCCCCATCTCCACCCCCATCTTCCTCCTTCCATTCCCCTTTCCCACTTCCACCTCTCCCCTTCACTCTTGTTCGCCCCTTACCTTAGCTCGTCCCCGTCTCCCATTGGTTGCCATTCCCGCTCACTAATAAAAATTGCGCGTTTTCTCTTATACATGTCTAGAGCAGAAGGGGGCAGTCTATTGGGAAGAGCTATTTTTGATTGTTTTTTTTTTTTTTATCCACTCTCTATAGTCATAAACTGAGTATTGAACTGGGATTCTAGGCCTCATGTTGAGACTCGCAACGGCACTTGAGAGCTGTTGAGATGCTTAGCAATAACAGGAAACTGTAAACCTGGATGGCATCGCAGCGACGATTCTCCACATTCTAGTGGAAAAATCAAGCAAAATGAAATCACCACGCCTAATTCATTCTTGGGAGAAAGATGCCTGCCTCGTGTGTCACCATTTCAAAACAAATGCTCTTTTGTTTCCAAGCAACACCGTAATTCTCAGTCAAGAGGTTGTCCTTTATAAAGAGAACACACTGCTTTCCCATTCATTGCAACCTGCTCATGCCGGAGGTGGAAGGCTTTCTTTCCCTTTGACAAGTTCTACGATAAAGCTCATTTTCCTTTGCCCTTCCCAATAATAGAACTCATGCAAAATCAGATAACTCAAAGACTATATTAAATCTGTAGTCTATGTAAAAAATTATTAATATTTCTTGTTATTTTCATAAACATATTTGTTTACAACTGTCTTGTAAGAAGGAATTATACTGTATAGTTTACATTCTTTATAATAGATTATAATTAGGGCTCATTTGCTCATTTAATAATTATAAATAAATGCTTGTGGACATAGTAGAAATTATATGATATTCTTATTTTTTTGAAATTTAGAGTGATTCTCAAAATATGCATAGTAAGTTACAAACAATACTTGAACATATTCTCATTCTTAGAATTAATTAATCGTACCCCTTTATTACCCAGAATAAATGTCTCCTCTGTATACTTCTCTCCCATGTAATATTTTTAACAAATTAGACTTCAAAATATGGTCAACATGTGTTTTGGGGTTTTACATTAGATGTTGCAAATGGTCTTTTAACCAAGCGCCCACTATAAAGAGTGTTTACCTTAATTCTATAAAACATTGAGATATTAATCAAGTGGAAAAACTTAGTTTGCTTTTGACTGATAAACAGGCTCTGTTTTGACTTAAGTGCTTTAATTCAGAGGCTGGAATTTATATGATACCCATTACAAGGGGCAGTGACCACAGTCAAAGGCACAAATGGAGTCGGGGATGCGCTAACTCATTTGGTTGAATTCTTTTTGATGATACGGACTTTGGAAGCTCTCAGAGTATAAGGCAGCACTGCAGAACACTGACTGAAAACTGTTTAGTCAAAATAACTGGAAACTACCTCCAGAGCACATTGACAATACTCAGGTTTGTATCAACGCTGCACACTGCAGATGTTTCAGAGAATCTCATCCGGTCATAACACTCAAAGAGAAAAGGAAGGCAGTTTTGGCTTTTCAAACGTACTTAGAAACAACTTAAGAAATGGGAAGTCTGTCAAGCTAGCCAGGTTCAATAGAGAGAAAAATGAATTGTTTCTGGTCTCGTTCTGTGTTAGGTGGTTAAACTTCCTATTCCTTCTCTGTAACTTTCCTTGGGCATGAACTTAGTAAGTGACTAGACTTTCTGTCTTGGGCCAGCTTTTGCATAAATAACTTTTTTTTTCGTATTTATATGATGGTAGACAATGTTGGCATTTTTTCTAGGCTCCTCCCCACAGTTACCTGGCAACAGCAAGACGGTGCCTGACTCAGTATAGAAGAGGCTGCTTGCCCCCTCCTCTCTCTTTCTTGTTCTTCTTACTCTTTTCCCTCTGTCCCTTCTCTCTCCTCATCTCCCCTTCTCTCTCATGGTGCTCATGGCCAGCCTCTACTCCCATATTCTCTCTCTCTCTCTCTCTCTCTCTCTCTCTCTCTCTCTGTCTCTGTCTCTCTCTCTCTCTCTCTCTGTCTCTCTGTCTCTCTCTCTGTCTCTCTCTCTGTCTCTCTCTCTCTGTCTCTCTCTCTCTGTCTCTCTCTCTCTCTCTCCTCTCTCTCTCTCTCTCTCTCTCTCTCTCTCTCTCTCTCTCTGCCTTCCTCTGCGTCCACTACCCCCTTAACTCCCCTCTCCATGCCCTAAATAAACTCTATTTCTATATCTGTCTTATGGATGGTACTTAAGGGGGAAGGGATGCCTCAGCATGGGCCCACAGAGGCACCCCCTCCCTCTCCCCTACCCCCACTCCCTCCCTATACCGCGCCTCCACCATTTTCCTGGCCTGCCTTCCTTCCTTCCTTCCTTCCTTCCTTCCTTCCTTCCTTCCTTCTTTCTTTCTTTCTTTCTTTTCTTTCTTCCTTCCTTCTTCCTTTCTTCCATCCTTTCTCTCTCTCTCTCTCTCTCTCTCTCTCTCTCTCTCTCTCTTTCTCTTTATAAATCACAAGAGAGATGCACCAGTGCTATATGCCTTCTGACTCAATGGTGGAGGCAGATGATGATGGTGGGGGGATGCTTGACACTTGGCAAGGGGAATGAAAGGTAGATAGTGTCTTTGAGTATTCAGAGCGGAAGGATGTATCCATGGAAAACATGAACACCTCTCATGATAAATCTAGCAAGGGCGAACACTCCCACTAACTGCTGGTGGAGGTCACGATGCCAGGAAACACCATCCACACTGGGAGTGCAAAAATAAATAAATAAATAAATAAATAAATAATAAATAAATAAATAAATAAATATCTTTGTATGGTATATGAGCATTGATTCTGATGACCCTATTCATAGTGCTAATTGAGTTTCCCAGAACTGAAAACACCGTTCAGAAGTTGAAGGCAGTCCGTGTGGTGAAGGAGGCAATACCAAGAGGGTACCTCTCCCATAAATCATCAAAGCTTCATGCAGCCAGAGTCAGACTCAAGTTGGATGGGGCTATGACAAATACTCAAACATTTACAGAATCCAAATGAAGACGCAAAAGAGAAAAAGGTAAGTTAACAAGAATGGGAGAGCATTATGATTATGGTTTTATCTTTCTTCTCATCTCCCTGGCTCATATTGGGCTTGAACAACGGTTCTCAATTTGTGAGTACGACCTCTTTGGGGTTCAAATGATCCATTCACAGGGGTTGCATATCTGATAATTCTGCATATCAGATCTTCACTTTACAATTCCTAGCAGTAGCAAAATTATATTTATGAAGTAATAAAGGAGATAATTTTATGGTTGGAGATCACCACAATGTGAAGAGCTGTATTAAAAAGTTTTAATTAACAGCATTAGGAAGGTTGAGAACTGTTGGTCTTGAGAGGGTAAAGAGAAGTTATGCTCTAGACTACTTATGTATACACCTTTATCTCTTCACAATGGATTGTAGCTGTCTTATCTAAAGCTTGCTGGCTGCCCTAAGGGATGGTATTCAGCACATCACTTGCTTGAACTCAGAACTCATATAAGGAAGAAAAGCATCAGGCGTTTTTAAAAATGACCGAAAGTCAGAAAGCACCTGACACCAGACACAAAGCACAACTGAGCCTCATGGTCCTAGGAGAAGAACCCAGCACACAGTTTATAGGACAGTCTGGGCATCACAAAGAAGACTGGAATATCCAATGAACAAAACGGAGTCTCCAGAATGAGTTGTTATGTCTACAGGAGAGTTTCAAAAACGGTATCAAAACCACTCAACAGGCAAATGTATTGTAAACCAGTGGTTGTATGAAAACTGAACTCTGTACAATAGATTTGAAGGATACTCCTTAAAGGTATTCAATGATTAACCCAAATGTATTAATTTTATAATTGTAGGAAATAAAGCTAAAGGAGCCTCCTATGCCAGCATCAGGGACAATATTTATGACTTAGATTCAGCAATGGCATTTTTGGAGAAGATACCAGATATACACAAAGCAAAGGTACAGTAATTATAGTGGACTTTATTAAAAGTATAAAATTTTGCATCAGAAAGCACCATCAATGAAGCAGGAAGGTGATAAAGAAGAAGAAAATGCTTTGACATTCTATTTCTAGCAAGCATGTGGCTTCAGAACTCTAAGGGGCTCACATAACTAAGCAAGAGGGAACCCAGTTAAGTAACAAAGGTTCTGAGCCGACGGTTTCCCAAGGAAAGTATCCAGAGAATAAGGATCATGGAGGTGTTCGACTTCATTACTGATTCATGCAGGACATGCAAATCAAGGCCACACAGAACTATTACTTCACACCTACTGATGGTTATAATCAAAGAAGAAAATTCATTGTTGGCAGGATTAAGGGGGAGATTAGACTCCACCTATAATGCTAGCGAGGATGCAAAATGATTCGGAAACCTATAATTTGGTGCTGAGGATATAATATTGATTCAGACCCTGATGAAAGCACTTAGTAATTTCTCAAATAATTAAGAGACTGAGTTATAGTATGTCCTAGCAATCACACTTGTGTGTATACAGTCAAAGCAAACAAGCCCCAACTCATGTATTTGGATACATATCTATAGTCACCACAGTGTCGATAACCAAAAGGGATAAATTTAACTCAAATACACACTAATGAAAGAGTAAACACTTCATTGTCTGTGTGTATAGTGTAGCATTTGTAGACGTACAAAGCAAAAGGGGGGCAGACTCTAAATACATCTGCTAAATAGAGAGACAAAAGGAGTCATACTACATGGATCCTGTTCACTCTCGTCATTTCCTGATTCCCACCCCAGGAGTCCTCTGTGTGTGTGTGTGTGTATGTGTGTCTGTGTTTGTGTGTGTCTGTCTGTGTGTCTATATGTATGTGTGTCTGTCTGTGTGTGTCTGTGTATCTGTGTGTGTCTGTGTGTCTATGTGTATGTGCATCTGTGTCTCTGTGTGTTTGTCTGTGTGTGTCTCTGTGTGTATGTCTATGTAAGTGTGTCTGTGTGTGTCTGTATCTGTGTCTCTGTGTGTTTGTGTGTGTCTATGTGTGTGTGTATGTGTGTCTATATGTGTCTCTATGACAGTGTGTATTTGTGTCTGTGTGTCTGTATGTCTCTGTGTGTGTGCTCGCCTCCATGTATGTGTCTACTTGGTGTACTTAAAAAATGGTAATAGAAGTATTTGATAATTTTGGATCAATTACTGGCATATATCACTTAGAAATGTGTTTTCAAAGTATGTCTGTTCTGAATTGTGTCCCAGCTGTTCATTCCCTTTTATCTATGAATAATAACCCATTGTGTAGATTAACAACACTGCTCACTCATTTGTGGAGGAATATGTGAGCTGTTTCTATTCTGTCCATATATATGTTTGCAATGACGATTATTTTCATATTTAACACAATGGTATGACTTTAGTTCTGCTGAGTATACCTGGAGATAACTGACATGGATATGTTATTTCTAACATGTGGAGAAAATTCCCAGCTTTCTAAAGCATATATTCTATGTAGCAACCTGTGAGGACACCAGCGTCTCCATGTTCTGGCTCTTGCTTGCTCTTCATATACTTTTTAACTGGATGAGAAATCCTCCTACATCTTTATAGCTTTAATTTGTATTTGCTATATTTTCATGTGCTCATTGACTACCATCTATCACTTATGCGCATGTACGCGTGTGCACGTGTGTGCGTGCGCAAACACACACACACACACACACACGTACACACATGGGGGGAGAATGAGCGATTAAAGTGGGGAGAAGAGTGTCTCTTCAAATCTTTGTTTATTTTTGTCAGGTTCTTTCTCTTTTTCCTTTTGAGTTTGTATGTATTTTTCATATATGATTATTATCATATACATTACTTAAAGTATTTAATATAATTTTGTAGATGGCCTTTCATTTCAATAGATGGTGCCTCTTGAGACATATTTTTTAAATTTGTAGAAGAGTTTCAGTATACTCCCTTTGGGAATTTTGTGCTATATATGTAGACAGCACATTGCCTAATTCATAGGGTAAAATTTTTCTTCTAAGAGTTCTGAAGTCTTACTTTTTGTGCTTTGATCTGAAACCCATTTTCAATTAATTTTTAAGAATGGTGTGAAGATTAGACTTCATTCTTTCTCACTGTATCCAAAACTCACTAGCTGAGAGGATAACTCTTGGTAGGATGGATTCTAGCCCTCTTTGCTAAGTGCTAGGGTGTTTCTGGATTTGTAATTCTCTCCCAGTCTTGGTATAGATTGTGACCTTAGCACTACCACAGTTTCAGTAAACAGCCTTTTACATGGTTACATTTTTAATGGCAATTACAAACTGTGTCCAATTTATGATTTCAACGTATCTGCTGAGGAAATGTCAAATAGCTAAGACTTTCTATTGTTAAGTAGAGATAAGGTATCCATCTTTTAAATCCAGTGAAGTGGGAGAAACTGTTAACTGTCTACCTATGGCTTTCTGAAGTAGTTTGACTTTTTCTCATAAAGTTCTATTCTGTGTTAGATTGTTTTGTTGTAAGATTAATAGACCCACACATGACCCACTTGATTAAGAACCACATGTTCTAGAGACAGAGGCCGTGGCTATCCTATTGTAACTAAGTTAACACTGCTTTCATTCAGTGAGAGAGGACACTGGCAACAGATGCAGAACATTATTCTACTCTTTAGAAAGTCCACCAACCTCACTGTCATCAAGGTACAGAGTAGAAGAAAGTGATGTCTGGACATTAACCGTTTTCTCAAATGTCATCTCTGGTGACTTGAGCATCTCTGATATGTTGAGAACAGAAAGGTCAAAATGGTGTTTTGATTTTATTGCATCTTAGATATGACGTAACAAACCTGGTTGCCAAGCCTCCCTTCAAATGGATGAGCTATGCTGTACTCTTTAAACGAATGCCCTAGTCACTATGAGGAGCTGACAACTTTACAGGCATCTAATTAGTCCCAGGATTTGCCTGTGAGTGAAATTTTTCCACCTCGGTGGATTTTACTTCCTGCAATTGTTTAAGATAAACAAATAGTCTCCGGGGAAAGGTTTTTGAGTTTAGAATTACCCTCAGAGCTCATTAACATTCATAGAAAAAAATGGAAAATAAAACTACAAACAGCTGAAAGTCTGTCCTCTTGCTAACAGCATGTTGTTTGACATTAACGGGGGGGCGATCAAGTATAAATCATTCCCTTGCAACTTACGTTTCCGAAAGATTAAAAACTCGCTGAGGGTCTCCATTCTCGATGGCATATGTGATCGGGTCTCCCTCTCGATCAGTTGCCTTCAGAGAAGAAAACATAATTCAATTACAAACTAGTTATAGAATGTTCAAACTATTGGTGTTAAGGAAATCAAATATGGCCTGATGCCAAGAGATTGAATAAAGTATTCTATATTGAACCTGGCATTTTCTGACATGTACCTGTACTTTCTGACAGTAAAAGACATTTTGTGTATGTGGGGGAGGGCTGGGGGTACAATAATGATAAAAGTTAATTTATATAAGTCAGTAAACTTAACTATTGTATTTTTAGGCACCGTATGTCTTAAATGTAAAGAAATATATTAAACGTTATCTATATAACTTGTGAAAGATGTCAAGGGACTTCTCTGATCTTACTCTATGGAGAGGGGACTGTCCTCAGGCTGAGACAAACTGTATCTGTCTGTCAGACACAGCCTGTCTCTAAGCTACTGTCTGTTACTGATCAGGCTGTGCCTTGGCAAGTTACCAAATAGTCCATACTGTGCCTTAGAGTTCACAAGAAAGTAGTGCTCACTGGACTTTGGTAATATAATAAGTATACCAGGCAATCATGGTTCAGTACACAATCCATGTGGACAGGTAAGCTATTTCTTTTGGCTGGTCAACCTATCTGACATGTTATATGACTAGAATGTGCAACATCCTTCTAAACTGCCACAGGATAGCCATGGCTAGAAACTCCTGCCGGACAACATGCTCCCAGACTGGACATCTGTATAGCTACATTCCATTTTGTGATCAACAACCATAGCCTGCATTACAAGATTCTATCTAATCTGCCTCATGCATGGCCAGTTCCCCTCTGTGATTCATGTTCTTCTGCATCTGCCTCATTTATGAAACCAACAAGAGTCTGCTGCTGGGCCAGCAAGATGGCTCAGTGTGTCAAGGTACCTGCCAGGATAGACTACACTCCATAGGAGGCACACAGTGCAAGAAGATAACTGACTCTTGCAGTAGTCAATTCTATGCATACTATATGATGTGTCCTCTGACCATTCTATATATACTATAGAATGTGGATGATCATACTACCCACTATATACACAAATGAATAAATGTAACAGTAATAAAAAGAACCCATTACTTTCATTGCCCCACATCTCAGAGAGGACCAATGCCGTTATTCTCTGACTCATCTCTCTAACCATCTTCCATGTCTACATCTTGCATCCTTCCGCCTTCTCAGGTTGACATACTTCACACACTTCCAGCTCACTCACTTAGCCCCATTCCCAGTGGAAACCATTGGCAAGCTCCACTGGCTCTTTTTGAAATGTTTGCCATATGGGGATGACTGTGCCACGTTCTTTCCTTGAACTTATTTCCGGTATAGTGGCAAATAGCATTTTAGCAATAAGCCCAGGTTCTGCTCTTACACCCTCACAATGAGCAAACTAACGTAACAACGTGGTTAGCTCTTCGTGGCCCAGGCATTGTTCCTTCAGGTAAATGCTATGCCATATATAAAGAAGATGAAACATATACAGAAAAGTATATGGAAAACTTCACAAACATTCTATTTTAATATAATACACAATTCTAAATTTTATGACATCAACTAAAGCAAATCTTATAAAGGTTACTTTACTCAATGACAGAACTTGGAAAGTGCTTCCTATTACTGAAGAATTGACATTCTTTTTTTGCCACTTGCTCTGTTGTCCCTGTCCCCAAACCCTTTTTGTTTGTTCATTAGTTTGTAGCTGGGCTTTTTTCCCTGTTATTTGCTGTTCTTTTTCTAGAAAAAGAAAGGTTTTCAAAATTCCAAGAATATAGATTCTGAAACAGGGATTCTGTGTAAACCATTAAGACTTGATCAATAATGAATCTTTGTTTGTACTACTGGGAATAGAACTCAGGGAACTCTGCCTGCTAAACACTTTACCACTGAGCTACACTGCCATCTCAGGGTATTGAATCATATATATGTATATATATTTATATATTATATTATTATAATATATTCACATACACTTATTTATATATGTTATATAAATTAATATAATATATAAATATGTATTTATATATTATAAATAAATATAAATATATATTTATATAATAATATATTGTATACTGATATATATTATATATAAATATATATTTATGGTCACAAGTGACAAGGCATGAGTGTGGAGGCCAGAGGATAAGTTTTATGAATGAATTCTTTCCTTCCAACAAGTGAGTCCTGGGTACCTGATTTCACTCATCAGACTTGTTGGTAGCTCCTTTACCCACTAAATTATCTCACAGTCCAGCCCATGAATCCCTTAATATGCAGAAGTGACTGTACTCTATATTAGTGAGGGTGGGATCTGTGAATACTGTGTGACTGTAATCGTATCATTCTTTTGTGGTGTTAGTAAGCTACAACTTTATCAAAGGTTAAAAGGAATTTTATTTATAAATAAAAATGTAGGAGTCCAGTGAGGCTCCTAGTCCTAGCTTCCTTTCACCAGAGTACTTTGTGTTCTGTTTAATTTAATGCTGTGTCTTTTTAAATCTAGAAGTAGTTAGTGACTATTATTTTCTTGAAAAGGGAAAGTTTATTCATATCATTCATTTTTTTTTCATGTAATAAGTAAGAATCACTCCTTACTGCAAATGTTTCTCATATATCTATTTTTCATAAATCCAGTGAAAAATGGGCCCCTTTTTCAAGATTTTGAAAAGTGCAATAACAATTATAAATAATATATAACAAATATGCTGTATCTTTACTGGACCTGGAATCCACTGGGGGCCTCTGGAGTAAGCTGTTATGTTTGTCCCTGGCTGTTATCTATTCTGAGGCACAATATGTAAGTTTTAAAAAGGAAAATAATGAATATCCTATTTGCTCCTTAGTTAGGCTTATATTTATGAAGCATCCCACCAACGCCAAACACTGAAAGCTCAGTCATGAACAGTACAGACGAACCTCTGCCTGCTCTGCATACAGAATGCCAGGGAGCGAAGGGCAAATGAAAATAGTTAATTCCAATGCGGAGTTTTCAGATCCTTATGAAATAATCCAGGAAGGACATCTAGAGATGATGGTAAAGTGTCCCTTGATAAAGAGTTATCAGGACAGCATTACTTAGTGTGTGAAACCCCAGCACTTTTATATGGGGTAGGAGGAATGCAGGCAGACCTGTGGAGAGAAACTGGCTGTAGTAGAAGCAGAGATAGGCAGAAGCTCCAGTGTGTGTTGGGAAGATCCAAGAGCTTGCTAGCTTGGCACAAGGAAGACACAGACTGCTGTTTGCTTGTCCACTGACCTCAGGCTAAATGACTGAATGATGTTGACTTTGGAGAGATAGCAAGGGATGACATTTAGCCATCCATTTGCTGATACGTGTCTTATTTAATGGCTCTAATAGAGCTAAGTTTTTCTTTAATTATTGCTTGAAGGACAAACAGTACCTTTGAAGACAACTCTATTGTAGTCATTTCAACCAGATGACTTAATTTATTGGCTGTAAAATCCCCAGCTTCTTTTTCTTTTAGTTTTGAGACTGCAATATAATCACACAATTTCTCCCCTCCCTTTCCTCCCTCTGTTCTCTCTCATACACTCCTCCTTGCTCTCTTTCAAATTCACGGCATCTTCTTTTATCGATTCTTATTATATGCATACGTGCACACATTTTAGGGGCACACAAATTCTCAAAAAATATTAACATAAGCAATATTCTCGGTGCCTAGAAAAAAAATCCCGAAAAAGAGGCAAATCCATTAATAGTCCATCAAATGCCATCTGGTGGAGTGTACCTTCCTCACACAGAATGACACTATTAATGACACTCTAGGCCTGCAGACAGGAGCCTAGCATAACTGTCCTCTGAGGGGCTTCATCCAGCAGCGGATGGAAACAGATACAGAGACCCACAGCCAAACATCACACAGAGCTCTGGGAGTCTTGTGGAAGAGTGGGAGGAAGGATTGAGCGGGGCAGAGGGGTCAAGGACACCATAAGAGGACCAACAGAGTCAACTAAATTTGACCCTTTGTTGGGAGCTCCCAGAGACGGAACCACCAACTAAAGAGTGTGCATGGGCTGGACCTAGCCCCCTCCATATATGTAGCAGATGTGCAGCATGGTCTCCATGTGGGTCCTCTAACAAATAGAAGGGGACTTTCTCTGACTCTGTTGCCTCTCTTTGGAACCCTTTTCTCCTAGCTGGGAGGAGTGGGAGGGTGGGAGTTGGAGTAAAGGAGGAAAGGGAGCTGCAAATATGTAAATAAGTCAAGGGTAGGGGGAGAAAAAGACAAAGCACCATCCTATGGGGATTCTAAAGGAGATACAAGATCAATAGATTTAGATAAGCCTCTCTCTCTCTCTCTCTCTGAGGCAAACAGGTCCTGACTGACTGACTGATGCTATTAACTACTTGAGAGTAAGAACTGAAACTTTCAGTTTAGCATAACAGTATCTTATTCTTTTTGAAAAAAAAATTCCCCCCCCTTTTTTTTCTTATATGTGTTGGATGTTTTGTCTACATGTATGCTGTGCAAAGGGCACCTGCTCTATGTAGGACTGTCTTGAAACATGTGTTTTCTCCTAGTGTTAAGCTGTTGGGCCTCTGATAAGGTGGTATATTCATAAACATGTTTTGGTATAGATGAACATGTATACCCAGTTTACATGACACGAGTGTTGCTTTGGTATTTTATTCTGATATAAAAACCTCTTTTCAAAATACGATTATGTTCAAAAGGTCTACTTATTGCATATTCCAAACATGTGAAGTAAACATTACATGCAGCCGGGCAGTAGTGGCACACGCCTTTAATCCCAGCACTTGGGAGGCAGAGGTGGGAGGATTTCTGAGTTCAAGGCCAGCCTGGTCTACAGAGTGAGTTCCAGGACAGCCAGGATTACACAGAGAACCCCTGTCTCAAAACAAACAAACAAACAAACAAACAAACAAACAAACACGTTACATGCAGTACCTAATTCTGAAATTTATAGTGAAATTTATAGCTAAATACGTGACAGAATAAAAAATATGCTTCAAAATATAAAAAGGTTG